GGGGGAGGGGCGGGGGACATGGGCCTGAACAAAGTTCTTACCAACACCCTTCTGTTTTTTGCTGGCCTTTGGGGCTTCTGGGTCAGCTTCCCGCTCTGTACAGTGGAACCACGTTAGTTATGTTATATTCATGTCTTTTGTGTTCCTGCAGGGATGGGCCAACGCCCTTCCATAATTAACACTACCTTTAGAAATTAATTCAAAAGGTCATGATATGTTTTTTTTCTCTGTGTACATATGTGCATGAAATGTTTTTTCTCAAATGTTAACTTAAAGACTAAAATTTGTTTTTATATTAGGGATTACGTTTAGCCAATGTGAAAATGAATGCATTATGTATCAACAACAAAAAAATGTAGGGATTGAGTCTGCTATGTATAATTGTGTTTTTATTCATGAAATAAAAGTTTTCAACCCATCTCAGTTTTTCTAATCCATGTTTTTTTTAAAGGTTAATTACAGTTTTCCTAAAAATAACTATTTTTTTGCCTAAGAAGATACAGTTGAAATCAACAGGCCTCATATTTAGATTTTTTTATTATTATTTTTGAAGTATTCAGGATGGATTATTTAACTACAACATTGACGCATTTTTGAATTTTAAGATGTGGCTAATAGTACTGTCGTTTAGTTTGTTACAGAGTTTAACATGGTGAGGTTAAGAAAAGCAGTACTGCTTAAAATCTTCAGAATGCTATTCGCTGTTTAGCCACTCTTAGCATAGGGTAATCAAATGTGGTCTGTTGGCTGCTCTAGAAACACTTGGGTAAGGGCAAAGAGGCTTTTGGTCATATAGTCAGTACAGACGTGAGTGTTGGATTATGTGTATTTGTTTGCTCTGAACTTGGGGACATCAGTAAATACGCTAGGAAAAATACCTGCTCTTCTGATTGCACTAAATTGTTCCTCTTTGAAATCTGACCACTGTACAGCTTAATCACTACTTCAAGGAAAAAAATCTTTAAGATTTGGAAGAGAAATACACTGCAAGTAGGTTCAGATCAAAATATCTTAATCGTCGTCTTTTAGGGAATAATTTTTTTTGGAAGTTGTTCTTTAAATGTTGTTGCCTTTTTAAATTTAATAAAAATGCCATAGGTTTTTTTAATCTGCTTTTTAACAAATTTTTGATGTTTCTCGAATTACTATGAGGCACAAAACAAGTAATCCTTCTACCCTCACGTAGACAACCTTAAGCACAGGGTATTTTAAAGACTCTTTGAGAACTGGATATGCCTGACTGCTTCAAAACAGTAGTTTTCACTTGTACATTCATCTTTGGAAGTCAGCTGTGGATACTACCAGGCAAATTGATTTGATCATTTCTAACAGTGGAAAAGAATGCAGCTTCAGAGTTTTATAATGCTAGTGAAAACAATGCAGTATCAAATTATTTTTATTCTGTGTGAATTCTGGAAGTCATTGCAGAAGTGAAGAAAATAATTTTATTTAGTGCATTTTTGGTAGTAATCAAATAACGAACAGCGTGAAATCAGGTATCTCTCCATAAGGAGCTGGCGAATAATCAAAATTCAACTGCAGAGAGGATTCCAAAACTGAAAAATTACCCTAAAAGGACTACCTCAGACATCCCCGGTAACAGTTTAAAATGTCATGTTAAGGTGGTCTTAGTTAGTAAGATGCATTATGATCCTCCCACAAATGTTCTTCTGAGACAAGTGATTGGATGATGTATCGTATTTGAAGAATCACTGAAGAAACAATTCTCGATGCATGTAACATATAATGTGTTTTATGAAGGTAAAAACATTTGTAAGTAAAACATGTTTCAGTAAGCGTTGAAAAACGTTCCATATCTCAAAAGATTAAAGATAAGTTACATTCAAGTTAATATACTTGAATATTGAGTGAAATTATTATTTTGTGTGTTCTCGTGAGGTTGTTCATAATGATTTCATTGGTGTTAGACTCTCCACATTTTAAGCTAGTAGTGGTGTTTTGAAATTCGGCTTTCGTAATCTTGCATCCTTTCACTTCTCTCTCTCTGCTTCTGTCATGGTGTTATTGGAATGGTTGTCTTTTAAAACACAGCTTGGTCCAAAGAGTTCTTTCATAAGACTGTTTTTCCTTTCAGTGAATGTCATAGGAGTGGAGCCTTCTGCTTCAACCAAACTGTCCTTCTGCCTTGTTCTGGTAACTTTACCGAAAGACGGTTCATATAGTCCAAATGAGTTTTTCACTTTTGATTCGGCTATTTCACTGCAGTCCTGAAATGCATGTCTATGGTTGCAAAGGCTACCTGTTCTGAATTTTGTACCTGAGGCAGGAAGCCCCTGATGCAAATTTTCAGTGGCTTCTGAGAATATGTATTGTTTTCTCAGTCTAATGGGTGTTTTGTTGCTTTGTGTAGGAGTTACAGGCTTACTGTCTTCCCTCCCACTGCTATTTAGCTGTTTGTCTGGCTTTTGTTCTTTTTCACGTTCTTCCACTGCATCTCCTTCTTGACTGTTCTTTTTTACAATGTCATTCAGAGGAGTCTGTTCAGCTTTCATCATTTCTTTCAGCTCCTGTTTAAGCAGTTTAGCTTTCCTCTTTTGCTCTTCTCTCTTTTTTTCCTCTTGTTTCATATATTCCAAACGCGTGTATTCTTCCGTCACTGGTTTGCCTTCCCTTAAAAATTCTAAAATCAAATATTGTGGTTTTTAGAAATTGTCTTATATTGTCTAGGTTCCTAGAAAATCATGAAGCATTAATGAAAGCAAGTTTTACTTTCTTATTTCAAAGCTAAAGTTTTTGTTGATGACTCTTCAGTCTTGAGGGTTATGACAGTGCTATTTACTAATAAACATAGCAGGATGGGCCAAGATTTAAACATGAGCATTGTGCCATTGAATCTAGGTAGGTATCTTTATTTTGACTTTTTCATGATGTTTAGTTTTATGCTGTGAATAAACATGCAGATATTTTTTATAATCAGTAGTGCATATACCTCATTGTATCTTACAGGCTAAATATAAGGCCAGAAAAGTCACGTACCAAGTAACAGGCAAACCACAGGAGATCAAAATAATTGTCATCCTTTTGCTTTTCAATGGAACCTAAACATAAAGTTTAAGTTTTCTTATGATTTTCTTTCGCTTAGTTGACAAATCACTTGATTGTGGCATGGGGCAGAATATGTTACAGCTCTCTAACCTATTAATAAAGTTGGTTCTGCTTTTTAATAAAAAAGTATATGTATACTGAATGCCTACAGTAAATACATTTGTTTACTGCAGGGGAAAAACTGTAATAAGTTTCTGTGTTTTGGAGAGAATCAAAGAGTACTTCCAAAATGAGAACAAATTCTAGAATTAAAGGATAAGTATGAAGTCACAGTAATGAAAATAACTACACAGGACTTATGTCTAATAGCAGTAACTGGAGAAAGCCTGAAGAGATTCTGGCAAACAGAACGGAGGAGGGAGTTCCAAAGGCAGAATCAGAAGACCTGTGTTTCCTATCATCAGTTTTAAAAGGGGATTTCAAAGACAAATGGTGACTTCAGTTATCTAGAGGGGTCAAAGGGTGGGCTCTGGAAAGGCTGCAGGCTGAAAACATCAAGTACAAAATACAGAAGTTAACACATTCCAGATTTCCAGCTCTTGTTACTGATCTAGCAAGTGACCTTAACAACCTGCTTCACTTCTGTCTCTCCCCTCCTGCTTTTGTCTAAATTGAATGTGTGACCTTTAGGTCACATAAAGTCTCACCTCATACGTGAAGTATTTAGCATGATGGCATTTGGATCTTGGTTGAATATGTAAGCCTTACTATAATGAAAATAGTAACAAATACTCTTAGAAAGACAAAACTCAGACTAACGGAATAGATGTATTGGCTACTTCTTACTTCTCTCTTACAGAATCTCTTCAAAATAAAGCTATTACCTTTACATGAGAACACAATCAATGGCTAAGGTTTACAGAAAGTATATTTACAGTGCTTACTGTAATGAGGAGATACTTCCAGCCCATGAAGAACTCCTTCTCCTTTCTCAGCAACAGATTTAGGTCTTCACTTTCTTAGCCAGAAAATTCTACAGCCAGGGGCTTAGCTAAAACATCTGGTCTTGTTGTGGGGTTCCACAACAGTTTTCATACACTTACTTTGCCCAACAGTTCAATTTTGTGCGTGTGTGTTGCTAGATATGTCCCTTCAGGGAAAAAAGCAATGGTATTGGTCAGAGACCATAATTAAATTCTGCAGCACCTTTAGGATAGAGAAGGTTTGAGGGCATATATGGTTGAGACGATCAAGGCTTTATAGACGAGCAAAAAAAGAGATCTAGATCAGCCTCTGGGCATGCTTAATCAAACCCAAGCCCTAGACAGAAACGCCCATTGATATTCGGTATGATGAAGATTCACGACCGATAATTTGAGAACACTATTTGATTAGTGTGGGATTTACCAAGTAGCCATTAACTAAAGTGTACTTTTAGATAAAGCACTGAATTTTACTAATATAACTGGAACACGTTTTAGAATTGCTTTTAGCAGTACAGCAGTATGAAGATGCCTGGTACTGTGGAGCTTGTCTGCTCTCACTGTGGTAGTGCCACCAGTAGCTGGATTTCAGCGACTCCTACTGTATTATTATTTTGTTGTTGAACTAGTTACTGTTTGTCAGATGCCAGCTAATGGCCGTCAAATCCATATAAATTATCAGTATCAGCAGTTCATTCAACTTTTGACAAGATCGAATCAGTTTCTGAGAAAAAAAATGTTAAAATATACCTCTACATGTTCTGTTAAAAGTTTCCAGCTTGGAGATTTTCTTGGTTCGTTGCTTTTCTACTTCACATTGGGCATCTATGTGTGCTTCGCTGGCTTTAACTTTTTGATTTTTATCTTCTGAATGCTCTTCCTTCTTAATTGATAATTAAAAGGAAAGGAAAAATATTTGTTTAGTAGCTTTTAAAAGTACATAATTGCAGATTACTCATTTCTGTTACTATTATGTTCTTACTTTGCATGGCAACTTTTGTCCTACATGTTTTCTGTAACATTTACAATAATTATATTCGAACAAATGTAAACCACAGAAAGGCAAGGCGACAAATCGGGCTATTCAGGTATAGTATTGAAACTTACAGAATAACAAACAACTTAGTTGAAAGTTTGACAAGAGACTGAATCTAGATCTTTCATACCTTTGATAACTGAATGGGACTTTTTTCTGTTTCCTTGTTTTGGTATTGTGACAGCAGTAGTGATCTAAAACTCTGTTTGTCTACTTGTACTGATTTGTTTAAACTAAGACCTGTTGAAAAAGGACAATCATTACAGTACATACACTACACAGAGTAGTTTCTGGAACTATACTGTTGGTAGAAGCAAAAGATATCTCTGATGACTAATACTAGCCTTTGGTCTAGGATTTAAGCCTATCTTTTTTCTGCATGTCGTAATGCACTTTAATAAGGAAATTCTGCCTGGTTTATAAATGCTGAAACTGGAACATAAATAGAGTAAGACTCCACCTTCAGGTTATGTTAGTTAATGCCTTAGGTTATGAGACTTAAACTTAGCTTTAAGTGTATATCAGTGAATGACAGTCCCATAATGCATCCCACATTCTAAATAATTATCAGTGCCTTTGTTGCAGGAGTATCTCAGCTAATAAAGAAAAGTAGGGAAATAACTAACAAACAAAATATTGCTGAGTTTGAGACAGATGTGTTGTGACTGCCATGTCCAAAATGTATTAAAACTTCATTGCCTAAGCATTTTTGGACTTTTTATTAATAAAGGTTGCGAATTCTGCTACCTGCAGTTCTCAGCATTTTAATCCGTAAATCCTTAATGTCAGATCTACAATGAAGTCCAGTGCAGATGTAACATATGAAGTCAGACAAAGGTGTCTATACCCTGCAGCACGTATTTGCTTAATTTGCATGCTAACATTCTAATCCAAACTTGCCCTAGAGCGGTTTGGTATGGGGCCTCAGCTTTCAGGTTCCTGAATTCTGATCCTACAAAGGATAATAAGTTTGCTAGCTTTTATGCCTTCCGACTTGATTACTAACCTTGCTCAGAGTTAAGCATTTATGTAAGGCTTTGCAGAACCAGACTCTTCAGAGGAAACATTTAAAACTATTTGAAATATTTAGGCTATTTGAAAGATTCCAAGGGAGTGGCTGAATGGGATTTTAAAAGAGATGCCTGCATTGTTCTTTTCATCCCACTAGAATAATTTTCACATAAAGACAGTAGCTAAGAAAGTTGATAACACAGAAGCAAAAATGTGATCTTACCTACATCAAGCTTCACCCTTGTTCCCAATTTTGTTCTCTGAAATCAGAGGAAGACTACCCACTAAATGATCATCTTTAAGTGTTTGCTGCTTGGTGGTAGTAGGGATGTTGATAACTAGACTTGGAATGGCACTGATGTTGTGGAGCAAATTAGTCTTCCTTTTGAACCAGTTAACAAGTTAATTCAAATGCCTTTTCAATAGAAATCTGTTGAGCATTCCTTCGATTAAGAACTAGGGGGAGCTGTACCTCTAGATGAGCCCGTGTGGCCTAATCTTCCCACAACTGAGCAAGCTTTCCTCTAACGGAGAGTTTATGAAATTCATTTCCTGGATTTGCTCAAGCAATTAATTTTATTTATGTGCCTATGTTTCGCCTATGCTAAGCCTACCTTCAGCTGTTTAGCGAGGTGGTAAAAAATGCAACCCCACAGTTCTTTTTTTCTTTCCTGCTGGGTAAAAATGTTTACAAATGCAGAATAGAAAGAAAGTAGTACTTTTTTAAAAAAGTAGCTCTTTCTTAGTCTGTTACAGGAAAATTCAAGTCAATAGGTGAAAAGGAAAAAAAAAAAATCCAGTTTTAGATTTCTAAATCATCTGTTTCCATAAACTGGCAGTGAATGAAACCCTTATTGGCCAACAATACCAAAAGATCACAGAACTTTGCCAGGACCTTTTCACGTTATCCCATTACAGAATATATCAGGTCTCTCTCCAACTGAGCTCCTTTATCTTGCTTAAAGAAAAAAAGAACTTACTTAAATAATAATCGGTGGCTTAAATACTGTAATTTGAATAGCAATATTGTACAAGTCCACACCTGTGTAAAATTTAAAAAAAAAACAGGGAAGAAGTAAACAACTGACTACAAGAAAACTTTGCACTGATATGATAGCTCTAAGAATTCTGTGGGCAAGTACAATATTTTCAGAAGTTATGTTTGCCAGTAAATAAATTTTAAGTGCGCTTCTGTTCCATATGAAGAAAGTGCCAATTTCTCCTTCAGTTTAGAAGCAGGAGCATTTGACTAGTTTTAAAGAGGAGTGTAACTCAGGAAAGTGAATGTTCAAATCATCATCCAAAATTAAGTGATACAGCATTTTTTGTAGGAAGCTCTCCTTTAGAATATCGACAGAAGGTCTGTGTTCTGGTATAGGAGGCAAAATGTTACTTTTGGTGTTGGTAAAGTATTTGAAGTTTATTTGTCAGTTTCTGTATAAAACACCTTTGTTAGTAAAATCTAGATACAACATCTGAGGCATATGACAATCTATTAGACGTTTATAAATGCTTCAGGAACATTATATTCTTCAACGTTTTGTCCCTGCTGAATATAGTGAGCATATGGACAACATAACAGTTGTTGTGTTGTACGATCTGTAATTGTTTTTAGCTCAGTCTCAAGGGGTGGATTCATTGGTCTGAACACAGGCACCTAATGCTATTATTTGAGATGCCGTAGAGTATTTAACGTATCCATGCGAGGCTTGCCAATATAACACAGGACCTATGGGCCACCTGTGTCCTTCTGGAACAACTATAGGGCAAGGCAGAATATGCTAGGACATCTCAGATGGCACTGGCTGCCTATAATTAGGCAACTGAATCCCACACGAGGTATTTACTCTTCAAATAGTTGATAAACACGATTGTATATGATAAGCATGTCTCTCTGATACCTCTCTGAGCATCCATGTGAAAGAAATAATCTCTGCTGAAGAGCTCTTTCCTCCTGTTGATAAATTAACTATTATTCTATTCTATTCTAGCCTATTCTGTTATTCTATTACTCTACGAAATTATTCTAAATAATATTAATTCTATCGATAGAAATAATTGAGAAGACAGATATGTAATAATTGGGTTATTATAATCTCTGGTTGTCCATTAGAATTCATTTACCCTATGTAACCAAACGACTACAAAGGATAAGCACTGTCTTCCCTCAGACAAGCTGACAGTATGACCATCAGGCTGGCCTTTAAACTTTCAAAACACGGCATCTGAAAACACCTTCTCTCCTTTTCCCCCAACAAAATAAAAGTTGCAGAAACTTCAGTAATGGACACTTAAGCATTCTGCTATTTATAAGTTAGAGGGGCTAAGGATTTTAAAGATGAGAAAACAGATTTTAAAGACCCAACTAAATCCATTATTTTTGTTCATATAAAAGTGCTGTACTAAAACTGGTAACTTGCTACAGTAGGGTTGTTTGGGAGGGGCCTTGATTTAGTAAGCCACGTTGTGGGAGTTCCAGTCCTAGGATGGCCACTTCTGCTGGCCAAGTCAAGGAGGATAGGCTGCACAAAAATTAGTCTACAAAAGGTATATGGACTGGTGACTTCTCCCTGTTAAAAATCAAATCAGCAAACAGCTCTTGCTGCAAATAAATAGATACTCAAAACAGCAACACTACTTCGGTGTCATCATTATTATACTAAAACCATATGTAGACTAAACACTATTCATGATGAAGGTTGGATTAAATATTAAAAATGGGCCAGGTATTTGTATTTGTAAAATAAATGAGCAAAGAACCAAGCAGTTGTCGTCTTTAAATTGTATGTGCCGGAATATTTTTAGCCTCTATAAAAGTGCCGTTTTGACTTTTATTTTGGAATATTTATCACCGTTATAAAACAAAGCAACTTTCACATAACTGAACAACAAAAGAAAATGAACATACATGAACTTTTTTCATGAGGTACTGAATCTCCTTTGTCCTTTGGAATTTTAAGCATCCGATTTGCATATATATTTCTTATACACAGTTCTCGTTCCTTTTCCTAGGAAGAAATAAACACTATTAAACTTGAAATACGTGTTAATAATTACTTTCTACCAACTTAATTTTCCCATGCTGGGAGACAACTGTCAACAATTTTGCTTTGCATCAAGCCATGTGGCAACTCTGTCATTTACGTCAATGGGCGTCAATCATCTTTCATGGGCCAACTCAGAAATCTCCCTCTTCCAAGGCTAAGAGCGCACCTGTACACCTGCATGATCCTTTTCATGGCGTGGTGTTCAGAAGAGGAAGCCTTCTCTAACGATTTTTTAATTTGTTTTTCTTTGCTGTTCTGTTCAGAGTACTTTTGGCTTCACTTCCATGGTTGTTTTACTTACCAAGGGACTTTGTTTACTACATACACTGTTCTGGTTTACAACTACTCGGTAGGTGACAAACTTCAGGGGCACACTTTACAAATCTATTTTGCAAGCCTTCTGTTTCCACGCTGAAATGCATCTTAAACCCAGAAGAGGAATTTCAGTAACACTCTCACTGTATCAGTTCTTCTTAGTGTGGAAAATAGGAGCTACATTTAAATTGGAGATAGATACAGGTTGGTTTCAGTAGAGATTGTGTCTGAATACCTTGAAGGGCCTGAACAGCTGGGTGCCCAAAAATATGCACATAAAAGAATAAACTGTTCTGGTACAGAAATAGTATTAGTAAGTATATCTGCTCTTGTTTGTAATAAAAAATTGAAGGTTTTGTGAATCTAAAGATAGCATTAACAGAATGGGACACAGACAACTGTCTGGATAACATGAAATGGAAATATTCCAGACAAGTGTTAAGAGGGGAACTTCAGTTTAAAATAATTCTCATTTCAAAACAGCTTTACATTAGTGTTCCTGGGACTTTAATTATTCCCCTTTGCCAGGTGTGTTCATGTAGGAGGTTAAACTCTGCGGTAGGGTATTAATACTGCAAGTGCTGTTGAAGGGTCTCTGATGCACGGCCTGGGTGGACTGCTGTACCTTCTTCCTTTCCCAGCAGTTCACGGGGCTTTTGCAGCTGGGCAATCCTTGTTCCCAGTGATGCTGCCAAAGATCAGGAGGAAAGTTTCTGCCCCTGACATAGAGCTAAGAGGGACAAACAGTGCCTCTGTACAGAAATGCAAATCTCCATGCACCCTCAGGAGTTGCCCACTCTACCCTGACAATGACTGGAAAGACTCCCCCTAGCAACATCCTCATAACATAAGGAGAAGTTCTGTAGAGGGAGCAACTGATGGATCAGTCACTTCATAGTGCAATAAAAAGTATATTTTAACTGTGTTTCAAATATAGTTTCGCTTTTTTAAAACTACAAGAATGTTCATGTTTTCTGGAATGTGTACTGTTTTTCTTATGAATTACTCATATGACATAATAATTGATCCAGTTTTGCTTTTTATTTCCATTCAGTGTTACTTCTAGCTTTTCATTTAGTAGTATAGTGCTATGTTTGGTTTACAAGTATTACAGTGAGAGATGAACTTGAAAAAATATTTGTTTAAAAACCACGCTGGAATTAAAAAAAAAAAAAAGCTATTGAAACATTTACATAAGTTTTTTTAATTAAAATTTAGTTTTTCCGACTGTAATATTTGGGTCATTTAGATTAAAAGTGTTCTTGAAAGAGAATTCCTAAAAAGTTAACAACATGAATATATTGATCTACATATGTCAAAGAAGTAACAAGTTGGTGGGGATTCCTCATTCAAATTGTGATAGATTAATCTCCGCTCTGATTAGTTAATGAACCATATTAGCTTTTGACAAATAGAACCTACAATAATTTCATCATTTTGCATTCTGACTTTTTTGTAGGCTACAAACTCCACTAGGAAACAAATGTTCCATTACTAAATAATATAAATGAGGGAATAGCAATACCTAAAATTAAATACATTAAATACTTGAACGCTCTTGTAGGAACAGAAACCTATTTAAAATCTTGAATACCTTAATTTTTTGGTGAAGAGAGTTAATTTCCATTTGCAAGTGCTTTGTAATTATTCCAGCTTCAACAGCTCTTTTATTCTCATCTGCCAACTGACGACTAAAGGTGCTATTGTTCAACTTCAGCTGTTTTTCAAGGACCTTAAAAAATTACATGTTTTAAAATATGGAAGTACTCAGCACGACTGTTCAAGAATTTCAATTCTTATCAGATTTAAAAAATAAGCATGCTAAACAATGAAAAGATTCTAATTATATTCCTTTGAAATGTATGACATGTTAATGAAGTATCCCAAAATTTACTCTAAAAATGAACAAAAACTGGTTTCAAACCTAATTTTACTAAACAAAAAATAATGTATATTTAGCATTTAAACATGAAAAATAAGTCTCTACATTACATTTCGGATGCCTTAATGAATCCAATCGTCTTGGAGAGATTTTAAGACATCATTTCTATTCACAAGGAGATCTATTAACTATGGCAGCATAAGGAGGCTTAGCGTGAATGAATACTAGGTACTTCAGCAAGTTCTTTGTCATCAGAACCCAGAAAATATTATACTATGCACTGAAATTATAGTTACTAAAATTATAAGTTGGGCATCCGATCTTGCAAGCTTTTTACAGCTTCTCACTGGGACCTCTTTACATAAAAAGCTTTCAAAAGAGAGTCTGAATTTAGCTGTCTGTATTTCCCTTTTTTTTTGGTCTAAGAAAAAGTACATGTGCTTCTGACCTAGCTGTCCAGATGTTCTGGACAGCACCGGATTGAAAAGAATGTTCAATGCTACAGGACTGAATCAGAAGCATCCATTTGATAAGAAACAGCTAAAAATTCTCCACTCTTCGCGCAAAGAAATTCTCTTATTATTGTTCCGCAAACACAATGGTATGCACATATTACCTGTATTCTCTTATTATTGTCTTCTATTTTTTCCGTAAGGACTGATAATCTGTGATTAAGCTCATCTCTTTCTGCAAGACCCTTGTCTTCTGAGAGTTTACGCAATGCCTGCAAAGCATCTTTATTTTTTAGCAGTTCTGCTTCAACTTTTCTGAGCTTCCTGGATGTATTTCGTTCTTCCTCCTGAGACATCCTCAGGAGTTTCCTTAAAGTTCTTACCTCAGTATAATGTCTCGCCAAAAGATCAGGCAAGTTATTTTCTGAATTCTCATATCTACCTATTGCTTTCAAGTGCCGACACTGAAGCTCTTTCAGAATCTGGTTTTCTAAGTTTGATGCTTCCAGCTTGTGTTGTAAATCAAATAGTTCATTTTTCAGCTCCCTGATTTTCTGAAGTTTTGCTGATGATATTCGCTGAGCCACTGCATTTTTTTTCTGGGAAATCGTATTATTCTGCAGGCTTAAAAATGAAGTATTCTTATGTTGCATCTTCTTAGGTGGCAATTTCTTCCCTCCTGCATTCAGGCCAAAGCAAAATGATACTCTGTCATCGGAGACAACAAAACCACTATGCATTTTTATTGTTCATAAAAGCTCAAATGCTGCTCATCCAAGCTACTTGAAGTGTGCTGTATTTGACAAAAGGCCCCAAATCCATATTAAGACTCCAATATTCAAATATTTCAAAGATAAATCCATACACCTGTGAACTGGGGACTGATGAAGCAAATTATTTCATCCGGAAAAGATTCCCACAGGCTTTAGCAAACAAGGACCTGGATGTTAAATAGGGACATTCATTGTCCGATGTAAGAGGAAACCTAGTAATCTATAGACCTGCAAGTAGTCAAAAAAACAAAGTGATCACAATAGTAAATGTGTAAATAGTAAATGTTTAAATTTCTCTGCAGCTTAGAATTCTTATCAGCTTCCTAGAACTTCCAAGTCATCTTTGAATTGAACTAAGCTTTTTACCTTTATATATGTGCTCATAACTACAGAATAGTTATACATTTGCCTACACTGTTTTTATACAGTAATTAAAAAAAAAAATCTTTAAGGCCAAGCATTCTAAGGGCGTTACTCTCATTTCCCTTTCCTAGCACATAATTAGAATTTGAAAATAGTCAAGACTGTTTATCTGAGTGTTTTCCCCCTTTTCAGGCAAATAATTTCACAATAGCTCTCAAGACATTTCAGGCAGCATTTTGCTAGAAGATTATTAGGATTATTTATATATCACATAATATTCTAACAATAAAGCAGGCAAGGTCCTAACCTAAAAAGCAAAAACAAAACAAAACAAAAAACCACATAAAGATGAGAGGCAGATGTTTTTAAGCATTTCTGTTTGATTCAATGGGTAATCTGTATAGGAACTATCGACAAGAGCGGGCCCTAACTAGGAAACGCAATTGCAGAACAGAAGTAACATCAAATCAGTGGCAAGAAAAGTCGGAGACTGCTTAACGCAGCATAAAGCCATGGCCTCACTGCTTCCACTACCAGAATGCTGGAAAGCTATGCAAAGAGTGTTTTTCAGAAGAGTAGAGATGCGTGAAGTAGTGGCTTCTGCAAAGCAAATGGCTGCTTCCTCCAGCAGTACCTCCTCCTACCTTTTCCCTTTCCCGCTAGTGTCAGCTTGGACCAGTCTTCCTTTTCTCCTCAGCTTTCTGTCCAGCTCTTCTCTTTTCCTTCTCTGGATAGGGCTTGCTGTTCCTGCCTTGGCCCCGACACCAATACCTGATTTCGGAGGCACCAAACGTCAAAGCTGCTTACCTGACAAAGCTGAGAAGCCTTACGCCATCGGACTGCATGGAGTAAGACCCAAAGATAAGGGGACGATAAGGAAATTACGATGGTGGTCAGGAAGAATAATGTATATATGATAATGGCGAGAAGTTTGGAAGCCATGCAAGGGAACACACCCTATCTATACTTTGTTCTTACTCCCTAAACATCTGATATACTCCGCTGTTTCAGGATACAAACCTGATGGTCTTTCTTCTGACAACCGTACTGACAGAAGACAAAGTGTGGGCAAGCAGATAGGACTTAACTCATATAAAGCTATAAGGGGGAGAATAAGGTTATCAAATTCAAGGTGATAGAAAAGGAAAGGATAGAAAGAACCTGAGATTAGGAATGACAAGGAAGAGAAACTGTGATTTGGGCAGGGTAGTTTATTTTTTTACCTATGCTTTAAATGGATTAAGGGAAAATATCGTACAGATTCACATAAACAGAGAAGAAATTACCGCAGTCAATCAAAGTCAGAGATGATCGAGTCCTTCTGGAATGAGGAAAATTAACAGGTGCTGTGAAAAAAAACTGATCAGATGTAAAAACCAAAACAAATATTCCTCCCACATATTCTCTGTCATATGAATTACAGAATTCATTTCCATTGCAGAAAGACTACAATATGACCATGAATCTGGTCATGTACATATTTGCAAAATATGAACAATGGTTACATTGCTAATTTATTTTTTGCCACAACAGAATGAAAAGATGTAAACTAAACGGAAAAGCACCTTCCTGCAAAAGCTGACAAAATATTGTAAAATCTAATACCACGTCATACAGGATGTAAATGCTGCTTATAAGTTTGTTTCTGGGAGACTGACCATGTCAAGTTGCCATGAACAACCAAAATCAACCATTCCGAGTACCAAAAAAGGCTAGTAGGCAATAATGATATTTTCTGCTAAACAAATAAAAATATTTGGTTACTCTTTTCGGTCCTGTGGTTTCATGCCAGGATAACTTCTTGACACTCGCATAAAACTTAGGCAATACCATAATCAGTGTTTACTCTTTTTTGGTAGATTTGTATCTTTTAAGATGCTGTGGATCTAGACGAAATTGTGAAGCTTCATAGGAAACGGGTCACTGCTTTTAGTCATTTTTTGACTTGGCATGGTGGGATTTAAGAAAGGATATGTCTAAATACGAAAAAATGCACAAATGAAAGGATTCTTCATTGCTAGCATTTCCATAAAGGGAATATATTTGTGTTATATGGTCATTCCACTGAAGCATAAATTTAATTTTGTATAACATACCATAACTAAGCTGGCCAAAATATACGGCTTTTTTGTCAAAACTGACACTTTTGTGCAAACATATCATTTTTGAGTAACTTTCCCTCAGGAAAGGCTTCTCAGATACTTCATGCAATGCATGACCAAAAACAGAGGAAGTGATATTTTCAAGTCCTCAGATTCAGTAATGAGGAATAAGGCTTGCAAAAGCGTTCATACATTGCAGGTAAACATCCTGCCTCGTGGATCACGGAGTATCATGGGATAACATACAGAGATTCTCTGCCTCTCTTCTCCCCACTCTCCTGTTTTTGAAACAGGATTTATTGTTCATGTTTTCTGCACTGAAAAACTGTTTCCCAAACCTGTCTAACTACTTTTTAAAAGGCCAAAGAAAACAAACAGCTGTATTTCTCAGGAGAGTCTCACTTTACTACTACCAGAAAATAAATTACCTTTTTACCTTTTGGGGGGACAATATGCTGCCCTTTTTTCTTTTTTTTCTTCTTCTGTGATTTCTTCTCTTCAGTTCCTGATAGTTTTAAATTATTGCTCCTTCTTGCTGTTTCTGAGCAGTCACTGATGAAGTCCTCAGAATAGTTAGCATGAGAATTTTCACTTCCATATTCTCTGCTGCATTGCTTACAATCATTACTGTTGCCACAGCTACTGCTTTTGATACTTTTATTTGTCTTTGGGGAATCATTAGCACCCCTGCTTTTTGTGCCACTTCCTGACTTACTATCTTCTTCTACTAAAATATGGAGGAAACAGTGATCTGAGTTCATCATTACATTGCTCGTAGAAGACTTAAAAATTGACATCTGTAACCTATCAGGAATCAGAACGTGAGTGAGTTGATCACACAGAAAAATTAACATAAACAATACTGAACAGTTGCTATTCTAAACAGCAACTAAACTATGCTAAACTACACTACAAAAATACTAAGTTACATTCCAAAACATACAGTCATTAGTCTTTAATCCACTAAAAATAATTATGTGATCTATAATTAGCGGGTAAGTTTGTTTCCAGAAAGAATTGCAATATGAAATACCTTTTATCTCAGAATTTACTATAATACTGGCATATGCTTTCTAAAGATTTACAAGATGCTACTGTTTCAATGCAAACAGATACCATAGTTGGAAGACGTCCAACTTTATTTTTGCTTAATGATAGCAATTTCTTCACAGTTTATTAAGTATACTCAATATATGTTTCCCTTGAAAATGCCAGAAGACATTTATCTACATCTTTAGGCATCCACATAACGCTGAAAACACCACCTGTAATGTACTGTTGCTGTCAGAAATGGGGTTTGGTGATGATCTTATTTTGTATGATCAGGTTCCAAGCAACATTGCTGCTTTCCTTGGAGCTGTCTTCTCTCAGGAGTCTAATTATCAAACAAAATGAATAGTCCTAACTGCTGAACTTTAAAAAAAAAATAACATAAATTTATAACAAAATACCAAAGTATTTTCTATACTTTTTTGTTTTGGGGGGAATAGCAAGTATGCAAAAGGAATAAGAGGGAGGTCAAAATGGTTGTTGAATTCAGGCAGAATTTAAAAAGTAGCTTAAACCGAAAAACCTGAAAAAATCTCTAAAATATTTTAACTATTTTGTTAACATTTTTGCCCTGAGATGGCATTTAATTTTGAATTGACTTCAGTTTATATTAAAGGGGAAAGTGGAAAGAATCACGTAACTCCAAAAGAAAAGGAAAAAGTGAAATTTAGGTTTCCACAAAACGTTTCAAGTCAAATCAAAAAGAGTTTTCTTCCTCTTCATTCCCTCATATGAACAGCTGTTGTTAGTGGAAAAGTGAGGAGTGCCCAGGTCCTAGTAAATTTGAGCCACTGCTGGAATCCGTAAGAGATGGGAACCCATGTTTTAAAAGGAGGATAAGTCAAAAGCCAGGCTGGTACATAGATGCGTATTTCTGTTTAAATGCGATCTGGCACTACCATCATTTTCTGGCCAAATTGTGTTCAAATAAGATTAGCTCAAATTAAATTAAATTAAACTTAAATCTACTGCCTTCATTCATTTCAATGAGAAGTGTGTGCTGAGCCTATTTAGCTTCAAAAGCTGAGAGATTAGAGGAAAATGGAAAAGGAGGAGACAGAAACACAGAAGGAGAGAAAGGAGGAAAAGAAACAGGAGAATGAGACAAAAGATATTACTGCAGAAATGAAGAAAAAAGCAGCAGAAGCTGAAGGGAAAATTCAACTTAAGAAAACCAGGACAATGTGTGTTGAGGAAAGAGAGGCAAAAAAAGGGGGCGGGGGTAAATCTATCTGTCAAAGACGAAAATGCCATTTCAAGCATCCAAACCCTTCAAAACTGCCATGGCGAAGAATTAATTACAGCTAGAAAGCAGCAAGAGGGTAAGTGGGAAGTGGGGATGGGGGTGGGAGAAAGCAGTCGTGACTCCCCCGGCCGGGAGGCTGCAGTCGTCCCTCAGCCCCACAACTGAGGGCCGAGCCCGGGCCCCGCGGGGCGCTGAGGGGGCCGGGATGGGCCAGGCCTCAGCCACCACCTCTCACGCAGGAAGGGCCACGGCAAAGCCAGGGCCCCCAGACGGGTCACTGAGCTCCCTCAACGGGCCCAAACAACTGCTCTGCCCGGACCACGCAAGCCAGAGCTCCCGCACCTCCCTCACACGCACAGGGCTGCCCCACACCTGGCCTCCCGGCCTGTCTGCTCGCTCTGCTGCCCCGTCCCCAGTGCGCCGGTGGGGTCAGC